ACCAAATCCTTTCAATAAATATTCCCCCCTAATAATAATAGAAATCTGACCCCCCGGAATATTTATTATTACGGGGGGGGGGGCGGGGACGTCGTTTATTATTAGGGGGAAGCGATTATTCTGCAGTTCCATCTAATATCCTCAAGCCATGGTCCATGTCTTGAGGCTTCCTATGTCTTCCTACCTTACTGCCTTGCACTCTCCTGCCCAAGTGAAGAGGCAAAGCTGGGGCTTCTGGTGGAGATGCGAGTGGCGGGGCTGCGCCCAGCGCCGCCCCCGGGCCGCTTTTATATGGCTCAGGCAGGGCCTTGCAGAAACATGCACGGATCCAAGATGTCAGCGGCTTGGAGGAGTTCTAGCACTAGGCCATGTCAAGAGCAAGAAGAAGCGCGGAATCATCATGGGGCATAAGAGTCTGCAGGCGTTCGACTGCCATGGTGTTGCAGGTTTCGGGAGAGAGGGAGAATCAGAAGTTGTCGTGGGGTGGTAGGCCCCCGCATCTGCATCCTTACAACTTGTAGGTCCCGAGTATGAATCATTGTAACATCCGTCCGAATCTGAGAACCCTAAACCCTATAACAGAGGCTAAGCAATTGTAATGGAACTGTAGTGATTCCATTTTTGTGGCAGGTCCGCACTGTTGGCGCGGACGGGTGGGAGTCCCCGCCCGGCCAGGCGGGCTGGTCAGCTCCGCTGATCTGCGAGGATCTGAACTCCTTGGATCCTAACGAGCTGCTGGAGCCGCTTTTAGAACATTTCACTATCGATGTTGTTTGCAATAAACACAAGAAGTTCTGTAGGTAAGAAGAATGAATACCTTGTCTCTAAAAGTTGTTTGAGGAAGCTTCAGTTTGGGGAATCGCAGGTTGAGAGAGCGCGAGGGCCCGTACCTGAATCCTGGCCTGGGACCGGGACCTCAACCAGGGCTCTCTGCTTCAGCAGCTCCCTGGGAGCCGAAGGATGCGTGGAAAGGCCCAGAGCTCCTTTCAACAAGTGAGCCCGCAAAAGATTACGGCTATGGATGGGGGGGGCTGCCCCCACCTCCATCGAACCCTCCTCGCTTGGGTTCCGCCGCTATTGATGACAGTGCCAACGAGGAGTGTCTCATCCTGGACTGAGCCTGTCGTAGATGTAGGTGTCACCAACATTGGTTCCATTGCCTTGCCTTGCAGGCATTTTAGAGACAGACAGAGCCCAGCAGTGTCGAGCACGGTGCATCATGAATCCTCCAGACAAGTCTACATTTACTCGGAAGAAGCCTTTCGCTGTTTCCAAATCCGACCTGCTGAGAGCGGCTTGTGAAGGTCCGCTGAGTCCCACAAGATTCGCCCCCGTTGGCTCAGCCCAGGTTTGGTAGGCTGACCAGATGTGCTAATACGCATGGTGGCAAGTACCAGTACTCGAATCCTGTGCCTCTGTGGAATTTTTGGATGCCTGCAGATGCTGTGCACATGACTTACTCGCATTGATTTCCGGATTTTCCGGCACAGGAGTCGCTGTGATCAGAAGATATGTATGTCTTGGGAAGAGTCGGCTAGACATGTCGAGCTGCAAAAAGATCCTGCCACGAACGAGCAGTCCGAGTCCAACCGCTTCGAGCACTATTTGTACTGCATGATCGTGATCATGATCACCACTTCTATATACTTCTATTATCAGAGAGTGTGAAAACCAGTGCTGTCATCACCTTTGCATTTGTTTAAAATTACTTGGACACTCAGTCTTGCCATGGCAGATGCTATCACCACCGTCATTGTTTCAGACATCCAACATACTTCATGGTACCTTCTTTGCCTATGGGCCCCTACCGTTGATGGAGGAAATCTTGCATCACCGTATATACTTTAGACTCTAGGGTCTAGGAAGTAAGTACATTGAGAGTCTTATGTGGTGCACGATTTCGTCCATCACTGTATGTCATGATGGCCCATAGCAACCCCCACCCTGTCGCAGCCTGGCTTGGTCTACTACGTCCACGAGAGCGGGCAGACACAGTTTGAGCGGCCCTCATCCAGGTGGGGTGAGGGTCACTAGTTGGATCCCCTTACACAGTAGCGGCTATGAAAATGAAGGGAGTCCGCATGAATTGCAGCAGAAGCTTTTTCAAGAAAGGTTGACGTTTGGACAGGTACCTTGGTGGAGTCATTGTGGGATGAGGATTGCTGTGGGGCGCTTTGCATGGTCTGAGTGTTTTAGAATGGCTATGTAAGGGCTGATGAGATTTTATCTGGCGTTGTCGCGTGTCAGTGGACTTTGTAGGCCTCAGGGTATTTCTCAATATCACTGTCAATTCCTAGGGCCAGCCTACAGAATCCAGTTTCCATTTAATTTTCCATTTTCTTCTCCATTTGATTCTCCATGATTGGGGGTTTCCATTTCATTTTCCATTTCATTTTCCATTGTCTTTTCCATTTGATTCTCCATTGTTGGGGGGGGGTTCCATGTCATTTTCCATTACCCCGGATTGAAGGGATCCCTCTCTGCAAGCCATGGCACTTCTACTCATGGCCTTCAGACACCTCCCGTGCGAGGTCGTCAAAAGATCCTCTCGCGGCCGTGGTGGAAAAGGAGAAGCGGGAGAAGGAAAAGGAGGAGAAGAACAAGGCCAGCAAGGTCATAGGTACTAATGATTATATAGGGGTATTATATAGGGGTTGTATAGGGTTTAGGGGTTAATACAGGGATGATATATGTTTTTTGTTGCCACCGTGCTTAATATTGTTGCCTTCTTTGGTGTCATCACGAATTCACTGTTTCAGTCTGCGGGATTTTTTGTGAAGCCTTTCCCATAAAATTCAACGACGTATTCCCCCCCGTAGTGTAAAATAATCCTTGACCCGAACACCTAGACGATATCAGAGGGGATGACTTTTTGCAAGAAGTGGATAAGGCTACCTCTAAAATCCTTTTAACCTTCCATGGAGATTCAATAATCATTTGAATCGCTTAGTTGCTCACATCAACTAATAATTGAACGTCTAATCAATTGAGTCTTGTTGATTAATCAAGTTGAATATTCAATTGAGAATTCCCGACTCCCGCAATTCATCATTAGGTGGCCCCTTTTGGAGTGGTCTTGCCCTTTTAAACGCGCTCATCCGGAAATTTACATCGCAGTCGGAAACAGTGGCCGGAATGGCGCCCGCACCGCC